CGGCCAAAGGGAAAGCCGTCCGTCAATTCCTTTTTGCATTAATAGTATAATTAATTTATTTATTTGTTACGACTTAAGGACAAAGTCCATCATATACCCGCAGGCATACGTGGCTTAGTGAGGCGAGCTTCCTGACCCGCGTGGCTCCCAGTTTATTTTGCAAAGCCTTATGGCATACTTTGGGCGTTTGTTAAAAACAACCGTACTTGCTTCGGATCCTCCATACTTTCCTGGTAGCTAACACCAAGTGAACTACTTTTCTTCAAGATATATAGGTCTCGGGTATTGCACTGGACAATCTAATGCACTCTACCATGCACTCGCTAGATTACTACCTTCATTGTACTTACAAACCATTCAGTATATTTCCTCGGTAGTAACTAGCTTATTGAGTAAGAGCTCTTCTTCCAGCCAACCCCTCCACCATCTATCAGAAACTCGTCGCCGAGTTAGCAGCCCAAAACCTTAAACTCTTCTTAGCCGGCCGAAGCCGTTGCCCGGGGATCACCGCTGGGAGGTGAGAGTTTCGGCACATCTATGCTTCTTATCAAAGCATAGTTCATCTCCCCAGGCAAATTGGACAGTATAAATGTGGTCGTAGGTGCGATTTATCGCTATTACGTGTTTTCCTTACCAACTTGATTTTTTTTGTACCAACACCAAGAGACGCCGAACTATTTTAATGTGAATTATAAAATATTAGAAAATTTAAAGAAGAATATGGATACATAGTCGTTAAAAATTCGATCACATAATAGAAATAGCCAAAATCCATTACAAGAGATTTAAATGAAAAAAGAAAATAATATATGGTATATGTGACTATTTTTCTGAAACAATGAAGCATTATATATAAGCGAAATAAGAGCAATAAATATGAAAATAGTGTTGAAAACATCTACATACAATATATGATGTATTAAAAAATATGTGGCAAAGAGTGGTGTAACGTTTTGGAAATTCAACCTATACACGGATGTAATTGTTTATTTTTTCTCTTTTTTTTTTTAATCGCATGTTTTCTGGCCTGACTCGTCGGATGGGATGAGTCCAAATAAATGTATTCAGATGCATGATAGGTTCTTGTTTCGCTACAATATTTCATTATTTTAATTAAAGCATGCTTACTAAAAATTTCGAAATTTTTGACTAATATAAATCTATGCCCTAACCATACTACTTTTCCCTCGCTTTGTATTGGAAGACAATTTCAAAAGTAATAGTAATGGTAAATGAATGTTAAATGCAATTAAAGAAGCGTTTAAGGACATTTAAACACTTTACCTTTAAAATACTTAAGAAGAGATATTTCCAACTGATCCAGATATGCGATGGTGTTAAATGAAGCAGCGTGACAGGTTTATAGTTGTTATTCATTTATTTATTAACCCTATTAACTAAATACCTGCACAACAATATTGTAAGGAAGCGTTTTGCTCCCTTACTAATAACCAGTCCGTCCGCCTAAACGTTTACCCGCAGATATCAACTAGTCAGTCCGATTTGTCCGTTTACCCGTCTGTCTACTGAACATGATCAGCCTCCTTCCGTTTAAATGAACATATAAGCTGCACACACAAAATGTATTGGCTTGATTAAGCGCTAACCGAAAGATCTCTTGTTAAGTTTTGCCAAGAAATAATGCTAAACAAAAGGAGGCCGTTAGATTAATTAATAATTCTATTTTAATAACCTGTACAAGAAACTCAACGTATTAAAGAAGTATTTTCCTTATGTATATATTTTTAAGCTAGCTTTTATTAAATATATTGTTTTTTATATACACATCTTCTTAAATGCACATCTTAACAAAATTATAATTCTTTCCTTAATTGTATATTCATTCTTCTTAAAATTTTAAATATCTGTATATACATATATCTGTAGAATGAAAATACAAAAACGAGCTAACAAAGGTTTCTTTTATTTATGAGAGGAAGGCAGCCTGGGGGTTGTCGGACCCAACTTCGGTGCCGTAGACATCACGGACCGACGGAGACCATAGGTAGGGCATGAATGGTAAAGAATGATCCAGGGCTTATGATATGCCCGTTCGGTAAGGTAGGTTTCGTCCGTCCGCTCATTCTTGTAAGGCATATGTCCGTGGAGGATAACTAGCTCTTTTAATGGAATTGAAAAGTGGCCTTTGACATAATTTTTGACAGATTTTTTTTTGTCAGGCGTAGGCGAGACTCTGCGTTACAGCACATGAAATCAAAATTGTCATAGCGGCCGCTAGCAATAATGATAGTATCGGTTTTTAGAACTGTCTATGAAAGGAAACAGCCGTAAATTAAAACTAAGTTAAATTTTGAATCATATTGCTTACTTACACTGTCGCTATCATTCATAAAGAGCAAAGGAGCAACAACAAATTTGGTGTCAGCGATGGCCCAAGGAGAACCTTTACACATTCAATGATCCACTTGCTTTGGAGTTGTTTGGGTCTGGAGGCTCTCAATGGCCAGCAGAAAATGATTTTTACTTATGCGTTACATAGAGCAACTAAATTGCCCTTTGCAATATTTGTTCTAGAGGACCATCCATAATACAGTAGGGCAAAAGCCCAATTGTCAGAGGTTTGTAGATATTTATGACAGTGTTGATGTGAGGACCATTCTCCTTGGAATAAAGTTTAGAAATAGCGAAGGCATCATCTCCACTCCTAAGAGATTTTTTGTGAAGATGATGCCTATCATCATCGCACAGGGAACTAAATATGCAGTTTGTCAGCCTAAGGGAACAAATCCGGTTAAGTACACAGGTGTAGTGTCACAGTCAGATTCCAACTTTGAGCATGAAAGTCTAATCAACTTAATTTGCTTACTCTCTGCAGTGCTGGAAGCAACGGAGAAAGTATTGTCCGCTTATAAACCTATGTAATCCGTTAGCGGATCTTCTGCCAACGGTCTGTAAATACGCTTCATCTATTAAGCTCCAGGATGATTTGGGTTAAAGCCATTCGATTGAAGGTGTTTTCAAGGTCGTCTGAAATAACAAATGAATGTTTCCTCATTGATCATTTATTCCACAAAGCTTCCTTAAGCTGATGACAAAGAATATATACACCATGTCTGGACATGGTGTGTTGTCTTTTAGGGAAATTATTTCTGGTACGTCTTTCTACAGAAGATTTTGTCCAAAACTGTAGATAGTATGGACAGAGGCGTGCCTACAATTGATTAAAATAATAAATGGAAATATAGATCAAAATAATGTCCAATCCGCATTTTTAAGAAGAAATTGCATAGAAAATTTGTCATGTCTCATAGGACAATTTGACATAAATCATTGGTTAATTTATGTTTCAGGAAACTGAGACATTTCGGTTCACTAGAAGTAAGCGCCTTGTCGTTAACGCAAGATTTTCTATTATAAATATTATGTGGAGGTGATTGGACACACGTCACGCGAAAAGTCATATGTTTGCAGAGTCTTGTTTAACAGTTTAGGCGTTTAAGAGGATTAACTATGTGTTCGCATATAGAACACACGACGTTGTCAAAGTTTATGCGTTGTGGTCGATGGATATTATCAAATGTGTTGACGACTATCCTGAGTCTATTGATTTTCCATTTCCTATTTATTTTGATTTTCTTGAATTGAGCGACAAGTGCAGGGTGTTCAAAATTCATTTGGTTCATCAATTCCTCTGCCGTATAGTGCACCATTCTTTCCCAATAAATTTTGTCAATACAGCATTTAAGCTTGTGATGTGAAGTGATTTTTATGGGAACGATACCGTCAAATGATTCGGTCTAATTAGCAAATCCGCGCTTTTTAATTCAGTGAAAACCCTCTAATTGTGTAGCGTAATAGTGTAGATATCGTCAAGAATTCTGTTAATTTGGAAAATGCTTATGAATACGATGGTTTTGGTTCAATATTCTATTGGATTGATATCTGGGTAAATGATCATAGAGATGATTCAGTTACAACACTGAACGACTCACAGTTCCGAGTCTGAGTCCCGTCCACCTTTAATAATGCAAAGTAATAATGTTAAGTTCCTTTCTTTCTAATCAACGCTTGTAGAGAATGTTAAGGAAACTCAGAAACTGTTATTAAAGAGAACTCTTTTGAAACACTGCGTTGCTATAACCGCCTTTAAATAGATGTAAATCGAGAAAGCAAATGCGATGTTAGCTCGGCGATTGCCCGTTAAAGCTTGCAATTAGCCTTATTTTGGTTATACATTTTGCCCATAATTATGAAAGTGGTCTGAGTTAAAATTTAAATAAAAATGGGGTTATCAATTATTTCGTATCACATTATTTTGAACCAATAATTAATTTTTACGATATTGTTAAAAATGAATCAGTGGTTGTAATTTCAATATTATATGGTATTTAGCGTTAATTATGTGGTGGAAAGTGGTCTAAGGTAAATTCACCAGAGCTCGTCACACTCCTAGTCGAAAATATTTGAGATCTGCTTGAGATATTCGTAAAATGAATAGCATACATGTAGATAAAGGTGAGGAAAATAACCAATCACTTATTAAGTAGTGGATCTAAATCCTCAAAACGACGCACACCAAAAATTCGATTTACTGAATGAAAAAATCGAAGCATGCAGTAGTGAGGAACAGAAATTACATGTTAGACAAGGTCGTGATTTGCATTTGCAATATGCCGAACGAGACAAGAATTCTCTTGCCGAAGGCCAAAAAAAAGCAAAAGAAAATCCCAGAAAATGTGGATTCTCATTTAATTTGCGGAAAACGCTTCCGTATCCAAAACTTTCTATTTCGTTAACTTATTGTAAGTGAAATATCTACGTACACAACTTGGTTTTCCATAATTTCTATGATGACAATTTCTAGACAGCAGAAGCAGCATGGAGATTTGCACAAGGAGTAGCATCATGCATTTTAATCCATATGGAGGGTACAACTGCTCAAAACCACCTAAAATCTTACAATGGTGCTTGTTTAGGCCAAAATCGAAACGTTAAAGTAGCATTGACAAGAATGAAAACTGCTAATTGATCAAATAATAATATTGAAACGATAGAACACAAATTTTTAGTATCCGGTCATTCCTTTCTACCAAATAACCGTGTTTTTGGGGTTGATAGAGAAAAAAATAAAACAAGCAAATTAAATCTACAACACTGAGCATTATTGTGAATTGATTGGAAATCATTAGAACCGTCAACGACAAGCAGAGTAAAAAATACGGCGAGCGAATCTGTCTCTTGGCTGCAAACTCAATGGATGAGATTCTCGAAAAATTATACGATGTTGCATAGAACTTCCTTAGATGATTCTAAATTCCACGTTTTGACGAAGACCAAAAATATACGAAAATATTAAATTACTTCCATTATACACTACCAATATACCAGTAGTGGAGAAAAACATAAAGATATTATGTGTCTACCTCCATATATCTGTATAGGTTTTCAGGAACATTTTAAGTATCTAAAGCACTCGTAATGATAAACGCCCAAAATGTTAAAAATGGATTACTTTTTTAAAATATAAATAATAAATGTGCAGGAATTATTTCATTACAATTATTATTTATAATAATAATAATTATTATTTATTACTGCTTTAACTCGTTTATAGGACATTTAGTTAATTTTGAAAATAGTGTAAGTCAATTCAAGCTTTAAAGACAACATATTTATATGAAACTCACACAAAATTTTATATTCATAACCGAGACAAATAAAATTTTGAATTAAAATGTCGTATAATGTAAAAATATTTTTTAATTTATTCAAATGCAAACCCTTAAATATCGTGTAACAAGAAATATATGAGTTACACCACTTTCATAATGATGGGCACATATAACTCTCCTTCCGTCAACTGCAGTTGAAGCATTGTTATACATCTATGTAAATGCGCACACACCTTTATTCAATGCATTGCTATATTGCTATATTTGCGAAAAAATTCCGTCAGCACATCCTCACTGCATAAGAACTCGTGCGAAACTGAGTAGAAAACTAAACGTTTTGTTGTTATAGCTTTGTGTAAACGCACATACAGCCTTAATTTAATCAATTTTTATTTTCTCAGTTGTATGGAATTTTTATACAAATTACTGAGAACATATACACATTAATCTCGCATCGATGGCTTTTTTACAAAGACCGTTCAAATATACGTCAGCTATTGTAATTAGTAATGGATTAAAGGCGTCAGTGTCATGTTGTCAATTTTTGCCAATATTTTGTCCGTTGGAGCAAATTGCTTATTAAGTTTTACGATTTAAAAATGAAACCAAAAATAAAATGTAAAATTGTTCCTATGACAAGAGCGGAATTTTGAATTATGTGAGAGGATGGAATTTTGAATTTTGATCTTTGCTGTTTTTTCTTTATTATGACTACTATGACTGCATGCATGTACAGTACTTGTGTGGGAGCCGGGCTAGATTTCATATTGGAAAGGAAGAATGAATTCAGGAAATAGGAATAGGTTCCATAATTAAAAACGTCTTTTTCCTGTGATTGCTTTTGGATTGACAGACTAATTCTGCGGTTCACAATAGGCATAAAAAAAATCAAATTGTCGGAAGATTTGCTAGACTGCACAATGAACACCATCGAATTTTTATGAAATACCAAATTGCAAACATATATACAAACATATAAAATTAGCACAACCACCAACTGAACATAAAGAAAGGGAAAAATGGACAAAGAAGAAATGGCCAAAATGATGCCCAAGCAGTACGAAATTCTTATAAGTTGGTTTAAAAACTTGTAAAAATACTGCAAGCAATAATGTGGAATTAAAGATAATTCAAGCTATAGAATAAAGAGATGTTTTCCTCATAGCTTTGAGGACCTTTTCAATGCCCTCAAAATGTATATATAAAAATGTATACATGTATTTGTTTTGCATGAGAGAACAAAAAGGAGTCGAAACTACATTTATAAATTGTATAATTCAGTCATAAATAAGCATAAAACCCAAGAGAAATAAAAAAAAAAAAATTTAATTGGTAGTAAATTTGGACCTAAAGAGCATATCGTAAAGTAAATTTAGATAATTTCAGCCTACTTAAATAATTTCCGAGTAACAAGCAAAAATCCAAACATTTAAAAAAAAAAAAAAAACTGGGCGGCGTTCAATTTACGCCCCCTGAGCTTTTGTGAAGAATCATCGAATTCCACCAGCTTCCAACAACTTTTATTAAGCAACAATTCGCTCGATTATTTTCAATTGTAGCTTTAAAGTGAGCGTAAGGAGACAGCTCCTTTCCAGTCCACAAAAATAGCCAAAGCAAGAAAAGAAAATAGTAACGTAACCAACAAGAACTTTAGTTGACTCTGAAATATTAATAAGTAAGAAAGTCTTAATGCCTAATTTTAACTGCAGCTTCGAAATGTGCTTTCGAGTGCGTATTGAGCTGCTTTGCCGGTAAAGTAAAATTTTTTGATTCCACGGCGAAATTGGCGCTACCCTTTTTTAAAATAAATTTTAAAATTAAAATTTTGTCTCGCCACTCACCAAATTTGAAGTCATATTTTTAGAAAACTAAAGGTATGTTGTTCTAGGCGCAAAATTTGTGACCTGTAACGAATCTTCATTTTGTTCTTAATATATCTCAAAAAAAAAAAAAAAAAAAAAAATGAAAAAATGCAACGTTAGTTAATAATAAGGCTTGTACTGTAGAAAAATTGCCTTTTTTTACTAAAGCCAGTTGCTACTATCCCTTCACTTTAATATTTGAAAACCTGAATGCCTAAACTCTCTAATTGATAAAGAATGAAGAAGAATTGGAATTCAGATGTGAATCGAAAAAATTTAATTCTACCATATAAAATTTAAAATTGTTTTTGTTTTCCACACGTAGAGCAATGAATCGAAACTATTTACGTTCAAAGCAATAAGATGATCAAGTGTTTAAAAAATTCAAATATTTATGGTAATTGCTTTTAATTATTAACTTTTATTTACTTGAAATTATTGCTTTTTTTTTATTTTTGTTTGCATTTATCTATTAATCTATTGATATTAGAAGATTTGTTTTCTTTAGTTTTGATCGGTACTCTTAAAATATATTTGCAATCTTTCTGCACTTATCGTAAAACATTTCGAAAAGTATTTATTACTAACACTTAAAGATAGAGCTAATATTGAAAAATGGTTTTTGGTAAACTTGAACGAAAATATAATAAATAGAAATTTACGTATAATTGTTTAGAAAAAAAGAAAGAAAAAGAATAATTGGAAAAATACAGGAATACTTAAAGAGAAAGTGAGAATTTATTCAAACACAATTACAATGAGATGGATATTTGACAATTAAAATTAAAGGGGCATTTTGCTCGTTCCCGCAAATATGTACGTCAACGACGTCTATGTTAACATTATCACTCCAAACACAATTTTTAAGTATAATTTTAGTTTATAATTTTCAAGTTAATAAATACAAATATTTTATACAATACGAGGCTTTGTTATTTTATTTGATGCGTCTTTCAAATCTAAGGTATTAAATCGAACGATAACTAAGCTCTAGTAAATCGTTCAGCCCCATCGATTTTTATGTGTGAAAAAATAAAGTAAAATGAATTGATCAAAGAAGGCAATTACATAAAAATTATACCCAATTAAATTTGTCACATGCGAAAGGCAATGATGCATAGCGTTACACTTGCCCACACTGGAGAACAACAAAAAACAAACTCTGAAAACATTCAACGCAAAGTAGAACTTTTAAATACAACTTAAAGCAAATAAACACACCAAAAGATGAAACTTTTCATATCAAACTCAAATAAGCAGAAAATATCAGTGAACATAATTCGGTAATGGCTGTCATAGCAAATTGATTATGTTGATGAAGATAAACGTGCTGCATTGCGTTCGTAGTGCGCAGTGAAAGTTGTACCCATCTCCTTGGCACGATTTGTACCTAAATTTAAATGAAGTCCTTCATTATCCGGTGAACCCTTCATTTCCATACGGGGGACAAATCAAGGGTAAGATTTTTTAGAGCCCGATTGCGTGCGGAAGATCGTTTCTGTTTAGCTGATCGTGAAATTTCCATAACAAGGCCTTTGCAATCATTACAAACGGGCACTTGCTCACCACGCATGTTCTCCTTTTGATCCTGAGACAATTGGTTACTTGACGAAGACAATGTAAATGCTTTCGAAAATTTACTTCTGTAGAGAGAAGAAATCATTCATAATACATTAATAATGAAGAGGTTGTTTGAAATATCATATTGAAAGTTATCTCTTACTTTCTGTCCAGCGTACTGCTATTGGAATGCGGTCTCGATGCAGGGCTGTTTATTGGCAAACTGCGCGGACCCTCCATACTGCGAGACATTATGCTGAAATGTTTGTTGCTGGAATAGTTGCTAGTGTGTCTACTATTATCGTTGCGACAGATACCATTCACCAGCATTGAAGTGTGATAGTGACAGCTGTCGGCAGCTGTGAATGAAGACGATGTATCATGTATGGCCTCCACCGCTTGACCGGCCGCAGTCTCCGTATCGATAGCCATAATTCCGGGGGTGCTCATATTAGATCTTTGGTGCTTCGGTGACGATGGAGCACTACCAACTGTATGTCGAGTCTGCAAAGAATAATGAAAATTGAAATCAACATTGGTTTTTAATTTTAAGGAAACGTTTCGAAAGTTTTAACCAATAATTATTTTTGTTTATAACAAATTTGAGCTGTTTGCCTTCAACTTCTAAGAAAATTAAAAGCAATAAAGAAAACCGCTATGGGGATAAATTATAATTTTTCTATTTCTTTCTCGGTTTGTTATTTTCGTTAAAAAAAAATTTATCTTACCTTACGGTTGGTTTCAGCGCCCATTAGCCGTTCAATTAGGGACTTTGGAAATGATTCATCCAGGATATTTCCAGTTGACGATGAGTGGGCATGATGTCCCTGATGTGAATGTGATGGTGAAGGAGTACTTGAGCCAGCTGGGCTAGCCAACAATGAAGGTGAAATCAATACAAGCGGCACATTGCGAAAATGTTCTGAAGGAATACGCATCTGAAATCCAAAACAAATAAAGAGAAATTCACGTTTGTTTTATATGTGCAACGGCGATACCTTCGTGTAACACTTTGAGCATACTGTACGCTGACAAATTTTGCACTGTATACCCCAGGGACCGAATATGGAGAAACGTGTACGCAGGCACAAAAAGCATACTTTGCGTTTTTCGACATCCTCCTTGACACGCACTCCGACAGGAAGACCTTCCAATTCCGCTTTGGTCATAACTGAACGAATGTGCACGATCTCCTCCAGGGTTAACGAGAGGCGATCGTCAGCACGTTCGTTCCAAGTCTTCTCATCCATAAAGGATTTATTCCACGGGCCAATCGAGGATATCGAATGATTGCAATTATCCGTTTCATCCTCTTCTTCTAAACTCGAATTTTGAGAATGCTTGTGCTCTCCGTACTTATGTTCACGCGATGGTTGGAATTGAGATTGTTGCTGGTGTCGCTGCCGTTGCTGTTGCTGATTGTAATTATTGTGTAGCTGGCGGAGAATGTCAACACGTGTTAGGAATTAGAAAAAAGGGATTTAAAAAAAAACATCATTTAGAAGTTACCTGCTTGACTGTGCTCACAAGGTCAGTAGCAGCAGTTGAATTTACCTCGGATTGACGTGATTCAGGTCTTGAAGGGGGCATTGAATGCGACTCATCAAAATTACTTTGGCAACCAACAATCGTATGGCGTCGAAGTGAAGCTCGCCGTGATTCACATTGAGTTGCCAAATCATAAGCTTGTCAATATAAAAAATATAAAAAAGAGTACGAAATAATGAATTTCACGTCTGAAATATAAAATGAAACATACAAACATGAAGAAATGAACGTCACAACATGTAAACATGCGAGTGCATCAGTAGAAAATGGTGTGATGCACTCACCTGCCTGACGCGTAAGTGTTTATGTTGTTGCTTGTTTTCGAAAGAGTGATATAGATAGGCATAAAGCTTTAATTATTTTATGAAATTATTTAACAGGTTTGCATCCCTTTAGATATGGTATAAGAATGTTGTGTTAGCTTAGTCGGATTGTGTTTGAGTTAGTTTAAATGACGTGATGGTGAAGATGTTTTATGTTTTAATATGTGAACAGAAAAAAAGTCAAAACCAATATAAATATTTGCAATATTTACATTCTAAGGCGTTGTCAAAAAATCTGTGATAGTCGTCCTTTGTGTACGCATCTGTGGCGGCATCACAGCGCACGTTGCCATCATCAAGATGATCGTTTAAATGATTTGCAAAGAGGTAAGCGTGGATTTCAAAGAATTTTTGAAAATTTTATTTGCATTTGAAATTGTCTTCTAACCTATCTAATAATGTGTGCTCGTATGTAGTAATATATTCGTGGGTCTTTTGTTTTCTAATTTAAAACATGCAAAGTAAAGCAAGCATATGTAAGAGAGCTTCGTCTACTTGGGAGTTAAAGGAAGTATATAGATAAAAACTGAAAGGCATTTCTAGCAACTCTTCCTTATTAATTTAACATTTGGAATCGGTATATATATATATATATTTTGAAATATTTCCTTGCACATTTTTTTTTCGAATTTAATGTATAAAATAATTGAATAAATATTTCTTATCTCATTTATGGAAGTAAAAGACTAAGAAAAAGTGCCAAAGCCATGCAAAGCTAAATACCTTTACAACCATAACCAAAAAGCAAATATAATCCAAGAAAGTTGAAAAAAAAGAACCAAAAAAGAAAAAGAAAAAATTATAAAAATTAGAATTGAAAACTTTAGTTAAAATGAAAATAGAAAATTGATTAATCAGATGTAGCCGGTTAAAGCCGACTATTGAGAATATTCTATAACGGAGATCGTTAACACAAATGCCGATTTCTTACCATACGTTATGCAATCGTTTTTATAAAAGGTGCGAAATTTGCGAACGTATTCATTCATTTCATACCATTTTACTTTCATTGTTTTCCATGAATAATTTTTTCTTGTGACAATGCCTATTGCTTGACAAACGTTCGCAACACGACCTTTTCATATTGAAATTCGAGTTTAGTCGTGCAATACTACTAAGCGTGTTTAAGCAGTTTATCGATTAGACAGAAGATTTCTGGAATTTATTAGAAAATTTCAACTTAATATCTGTTATAGTTACTAAGCTATTAAGAACAATATTCAAGTTCTTGCGGCTGTTTGGTTGTTCTAGATATTATATCCATTTTATGGTGTATCATGTTATGTCCACGTGGAACCTTACGTTCCACGCTCAAATGTGCGTTAAGTTTCATCTTTCTATTCCAATTTTTGCGACCAGCAATCGTCAAAAGGCGGACTTAACTAATTGGACTTTACAATCTCTTCGTTAGCGAGCGTGATTTGACTTTATAGGATCTTTGAGGCCTTTTATTACTAAGCCGTGTTTATCTTCTGCTTTCTTCGAATAGTAAGAAAAATTTTTTTTTTGGTTTTTAGGAAATCGTTTGAACACATTATAAAAATATTCTAAGAAAAATTTCTCTGCAAATTATTGTAAAAAGAATATATATTTTTATACTTATTGTAATCTATTTTGAGAAATTTTATTAAAAACGATTTTCATGCAAGCAAATTTTGCAGTTTTATGAAAATTTGTCGAGAATTCGTCATTATAGATGGAAGGTATAAACTGAACTATATATTAGATCGTCTAAAATGCATTCGTTCCTTTAACGACGAAAATAATATATTTTTCATCGCTGTCTTCACATTTATATATTATCCATTATATGTCCAAACTATCTGCATATATGTTCCTGTGTGTGTTCCATGTGTTCTTGAAATTTAATTCACTTGAATGTAGAATATTGACTTAATTATAAATAATCTAATGAAATGGGCGACTTGGGCGGGAACATCTTTACTTGGTTGTAAAAGTGTAAGGGTAAGGGAGTATAAGAAATTGACAAACGTATGGATGTGTTTTGAGCATGTGGTAGCAGCGTCTACTCATGCACGCACACATGCATCACAAAGCATTTATGTTAAACTATTTTATATTCTTTTAAACTTACTTGTTCGTCGCATGACACGTGTTGTTAGTGTTGTGGTGGCCGTCGGTGGTGCTTGAGTCACAGTACTGAATCGTTTTGCTGCCGGTGGGTCACTCACCATATAGCCACCAATAGGATACGGAGGCATTTTTGGTTGCGAACAAACACCCATATTTCTGGTCGCGCTACCATGTCCATGATTTGTTGATATTGATGATGATGTGGAAGCCAAAGAATACTCATCGAAAAATGCATCGTCGTCCTGAAAAATTAAAAAGATTTGATTTGTCGTGCAAAGCAGTGTAAGTACAAAAATATAGTACAAACAATACTCTCTCAGCATACATATACATGTCCATGTCAAAGCATATGTTTATATTTATGTTTTTAACTTTATTGAGTGCATGTATGTGTACAGTTCTAACAATTATCTCACAAAACTAGGTAATCGAAAAACGTATTGAGCCTTTTTTTAATTACCATGTCAAATATGCAGGTGTGTGGTATACATATTACTTGCAAAAGATTTTTTCGAATTACCTTTGACAATTGGTGCTGGGGTGCTAGAGCCCGATCAAGATCTTGACATTTTTATAATCCAACGTATAGCAATACTTACTTGCATTGTAAAGACATGCAAACTTTACGACAATATTACAAATTTATTGCTATACAAAGAAAAAGTAGATGGGTTATGGTAAATTTCGAGGGAAAGCAGCTCCGTGTTTTATAAATCTTACACTAGCGCGGAGGATAATTGTGTACGTCTAAGGGCTTTAATGAAATTTGTAGTCGTTTCCATTCTAAGGTACAAATTATCTCGTATAGAGATTACGCACGCTGCTCCCTGTGAGTGAAAGGAAGAAAGCACTCTTCGTAACTTATAGACGACAATTTTTGTAGAGAATACCTTGAAATTTAACAGAGGCCTACAGTGTAGCTTAAGAAACTGCAGAAAGTTGCCAAGTAATGTAGTGGTGTATTGTGGGTGCTTGGTTTATTTGTATTCGTTCATGTTTTCTTGATTTTTGAGATTCACAGGCTCAATATATTTTAGATAACCAATAACAACAACGAAACGGTGTTTCATCGAGTTTCCCCTCGAATAGAATGGTATTTAGTATTTCGAACGTCTTGTTTTGTGTTTGGTTTTGTTTGTATGAATGTTTTTATCTACAAATGTGAAAATTATGAACAACCAAATTAAGCAAAAAAATTATGAACTAACTGTACCTTTTATACTCTTCATCTTGAATTTTTTTTAAATTTTTACGTATATGATATTCTTAACTTGGTTTTTCAATTTTCTCAGTTTTCAATTATTTTTTTGTTATCTTTTTTTATAAGCATTTGGAATACTTTATTCATTTCTTGTTTTCTTGCGTAAAAGTGAACTCGATTTGAAAATGCCAACTTATCTCCAAACCCCCAATAAATAGGATGGAGTACTCAAATATTTGCAAATGTTTGAACTTATCTGAAAACGCGGCGTTATTGGCAAAAAAAAAAAAAATTATATTAAAACGTATCTCAAGCATTGTAGATACACGTGCTAAAGCCGATCGAGCGAACTTAATTTTAATTTTAAAACTTACTTGTAAGAGGGAAAAATCCACTTTAATTAGGCGTTGCTTGGAACGCGGAGTTAGATTAACTTCGAAGTTCTCCTTTAATAACAACGAGTTATTGAATTTACTATGCTGCTGATGCGTTGACGGTACAATGGAAGAAAACGTTGCTGACGGAAGCACTGCAATATGAGAAGAAGCAAAATTTACATAACTGCATTTTTTTTAAAATAATGTAACTTTGCAACATTCGTTTTGTTAATTTGCAAGAACGAAAGTGGACAATAATTTCGAGCAACAAAGCGTTTATTTACGCAAAGACTTGAACATGCACTAAAATTAGGTCTACAACGAGGTTTATTTTGGCGATTTCGCGGATTTCCATAATTTCAGTTGACACCAAGTATAATAATACGATTTCCTAGAAGTTTCTTACTTCTTTCATTTTCAATATATTCTAACACAAATTATTCACGAAGAAAACTCAACTAATATCATGTGAATTCGTTTGGAGAAATTACCGAACTGATCCTCATTACAAACACTTTACCATTACACATACTAATATATTAAAAAAATTGCTTTCGTTCTTTTGGCAAAAAGAGATTTTCGGATTAGTAAACTTTCTTGCAAAATTTTCTGATTTTTAGAATTGTTTCAATATTTCAATGCTTATAACAAAGATTTGCTAATACAAAGCGTGAAGTGGAAGTTGAGATGATGTTCTATCTCTACAGTTTATAAATTTTGTTTCATATCAAATTAATTTTAATTTAGCTTCAAATCAAGTTCCCTTCAAATGCGTTCAAATACTTCAAGCGTTTCTAATTTAACATGTTCTTGTCATTCTAAATGTTGTTTTCTTAGTGAAATCTTCAGAATCAATGATTTCTTATAAATTTGCGCGGAACGCTTTCTCATTGTAAGATGATATTTATAACATGCGATATGCTTATTCGCATGAGACTTTTAAATCACTTAAGCTTACTATGTCGCTTACTGTTTCATTGGAGGAATGATTTGAAGCCCTTTGCTCGCTTAACACAATGTTTTACTGTAAAGTATTACACACGACTAGCTTGGATATGTCCGTGAATACCCGTATGCACCTAACGTCTCTATTATGTTTATTTTTTAATCATATTTAACAAATGTTTTGCGATTTTTCACGAGTCAGTTCCGAAAATGGGTCACCAAAACCGACTGTTTTGTTTTGTACCAGGCATTCATATATATATGTATGTATGTAGGCTGAATACAATCTATGGGAATATGTTATAAAGCATGATGCTTTCTTATTATTACTTTATTTATATTATATTATTTCTTATTAATATTAGGTAACATATTAGGTAACGATGTACCCAAATACTTATAAACATTCAAAAATGAGTTTATTTTATTTATAATAATTTGTTTTTTACGCTTAAACTTATGTGCGGCTTTTGCGCAAGTGTTATGTTATGTTTCAGTTATTAATGTTTACCACAAATTAATTTGAACTTTGGCTGAATATCATTTCATTCCCACTATTTATTATTTTATGTTGGCACAAATCACATCGCGATCAGACCAATGCACGCCAGCATCGCATGCATCTACAGGAATGACAGTTCACTTAGCACCAGTATTTACGTAAGCTCAAATAAAAGCCGGCCTCAGAGTCGTATGCATTAAGTTAGGCATAATTTTGGCACATTGTATACTGTATTATGTTTGGCGGTCCATCCCTGTCAGTAATCCACATTTAACAATGGTAGACAAAGTGCAAAGGAGATCAGAGCAGGTTTATTTTTAAGTCTATCTTCTCTTAAAGATTTATTCCTCTTTTTTTTTCAAGCTACGAACCAGCTTAATAATATATACCATACATAACGTATGTTAATATATGTTACGCAATAATTGCGCAACAATATGAAATGTTTGTAATCTTATACATTTGTGTTCATGTGTTTTTGTTTGCTTCTGCGCAGATAGATTTATGTACATAAATTAGGTTAGATGTATGGTAGATGAGTTGAAACGCGCTTTCGCATGTCAATAAGCGTAAAACATTAAGTGATAATTAGCAGCCAGGAAATTGTAAGCTTATATGCAATATGTACTTTTTGTCACAACTATAACTAAAGTTAAATTAGTTGGGCAGCCGATTCGGCGAAATTCTTTTTTGAGTGTTAAAAACCGTAAAAATTTGTTAGTTTGGAAGACCTCTGAAATTCCATTAAACAAATTCGCTTGCTGTCCCTGTCCGTTCTGAATCAGTCCCGCAATAGGTAACTCTTCTATGCCCGTCATCGAAGGATGAGGCGTACATTCATTTTGACGAAACGTTTGCAACGCCCAGAAGACCCAGAAGATCAGAGACCCCACAATGTACATCTATTCTTGATCAGCATTAAATTCTAAATCGATTTAAGCATGTCCGTGGCCGCAAAAATGAAGCTATCGACTTCAAATTTAGCACAAACATTGCAAGTTCTTGAACGCAGGTTGGTAAACAAAATGGCCCAAATTGGTCGAAAGACAAGCCTCATGTAAACTGAGAATACCTTTCTATTTGAAAGGAATAAAAAATTGTTTTTTTGCTCATTACTCATAAACTATAGCAGATAAATATACAAAAATTTGCACGCTTACTCTATGGGCGATGCAGGAGCATTCGTGCATAAAAATGGCAAATATTGACCACGCCTACCTTATATTATAGTGTATCAAACTTGAATTGTTTTTTTAATACCTTTATAAAAAGTTGGGAGCTGTAGCAATGGATCAAAGGATATGCTAGACAAAAAATAGGAGAGACGGCTGATATAGTCGCATTTCCTTTTTAAACTTTCATAGAATGAATTGTTTTCCACAAATAAATTTGAGAAGATTGCCTCCTAATTTTATGTTCACATGTTAGGGGGAAAAAATCGATCAAAAAAACCCGAAGCAAGTTTACCTTTTACGAGGGGTATTTAAAATTGCTTTTAACTAAAAATTTTGCCTTCTTAATGAAAGAAATTAACTAACAGTTTACTATGCAATTTCTTTGCTTCAGTAAAAATCAACAGGTGTTTCGCGAATCGAAAGAATAAGGCAATGTGCGAAATGAAAACACAAACTTAGGGAAAACTTTAATCTTCATTTCTCAAGAAATTAGCGGCCAAACTTTGCTGGTATTTTATGGTCTTTCTTCTACGTACTTTATACGAAGATATTTTTTATTTGATTACATAATATGCATAATTCTTTGGTTTGCAGTATATTTCTTTTATAGCACATTCCCAGATATAACGTAATTAGCATAATCATGAAATAATTTCTGTTTGAACTAACGTAAGTATGGAATACGTTTCAGTCTTAACCAGCCTAATGTTTGCTGGATATCTGAAAAAGATTGTGTTTGACTTTTAGATACGTTTATGATTTACCACCAATTTCGGTAAGAACTAATAGTAAGCAATGCACCTTTGATGCAATGCTGATTACTACTGGGGTCGAAAAGTAATGCGAATTTCTCATTTAATTGTCTTTTTTTCTGGCTCGACAGCGCTGCCGTTGACAGTTTGATGTGAACATATTCAATTGGTGCAGAATAAAATGTATTTTTTTAAGCATTTAAAATTGTATTTTTTAATTTTTACTATACGTAATTTTGTCGAGTAAAAAAATTGCCTTGATGTTGATCGTTCAGTGAATATTCTGCCATGAAATCATTGAGGACGTTACAGATGATGCCCTCCGATGACGAGGCCATGTCGTAAAAAAACGTGTACATGTTGTACAACGTCTTGAAAGACGCTTGGGTTGGAAACTAAAACAAAAATTTGGCATGGATAGCCATCAACATCTGCCGATGAAAGCGTCACAAATTGTCGATTTAAAAGTAAAGACCTTCCTGATGCTACAAACGCTTCATTGGGATCAAATCTAAAAAAATATTAGAAGAAATTTGGGCTTTAATCGGTCAATTCGCGGTTGGACTTTTTCATTGGTGCTTCGCCAACATTTCGCAAAAAACTCAACCCATATCATTTCATGACCGTGGTATTCGTTTCGATTAGTGAGGGGCGACTTCTTAGCTCTTTAACAATTGAGAAGATAAAAAGTTGTTTACGACCTTCGTCCAAGAAAGAAGACTTCCCTGACTATTCCAAGGATTGGCAAAAGAGTTGACTGACGTACATTGAATAAGACGTTGAGTACTTTGAAAATGATGAAATGGCGATTTGGAATAATAAGTATACATTATTAACTCTATAAACAACTCCATCTTATTTCTGGATCGCAATGCCATGCGAAAATAGAAAAATTCACAACACTTTTATTTCAGTGGGCCTAAGAAATAGTAAAACAATACTTTCAAAACTTTGCGGATAATTCCGTGTTTAATGTAACCCGAGAGTATCAAGACTAAGTGTTCATTTTCATGTGCACTGTTCCAGCACGCGAATAAAACGTTTCACTGCATCCAATGCAGTTTACGCGCGGTAGAATCGAGTTAAAACTGGGTTTTATTCGTAAATTATCTTTGTTTGCAATTTGCTCTTTGCCTTTTTTTACGATACTTCGCTTGCTACATTATTAAAAGAATTTATTAATTTTGTAAAAAATAAGAAAAAAACTCTTCAAGCAAGATTCATTTAAAATTTAAATTTGGCGCATTACGAGAAACTAAAAAGCACTACAAGCTCTATTTGCGACAAATTTGCTTTGTTTGTTTTTATTAAATTCTCAGTTTGCTTGATTCGCTTTGAAGGGTAGCGAATGCTGTGGCTAACGAACTGTTAAATCAGGCCAGTCTTTTGCCCCGTTTCTCTTGATTGTTTTTGATTTTATCCTTTTTTTTCTATTTCTATTTGAAAACAAATGAAGGAGATAAAAACAACGTTTTCAAGCGCATTTACCTGAACGGGGTTTAGGAGTTGGCGGTGGCTTATTTGTGCGTGGACGTGGCGCTGCTCGGGGTGTAGGCAACGGTTCTTGTCCGCAAAATAGATAAGCATCGCTTGCCTCGTCGACACCGTCGGAAGCGCATGTTGTTTCAGATACAGCTTTGGCTGAAGGAGTTAACTTAAGTTCTGACGCAGTTGTCGTCATTTTACCTAATTTTTTTAATTTTGTGCTTGAGTCATATCGATTAAAATTTCATAAATGCCATTTTGTATTCCAATTATCTAAGATTCATTTATTAAAT